GATATGAGAAAGCAGCTTCACAGAGCTCCCAGCGGGAGACAAAACAACCGGTAATTTGCGATATATGCTTTCCCACCACCCACCCTTCTTCACCCCCACTCGGCCTCCTCTGCTTCCCGCGGCCACAGTCTCTTGTCCGGGAAGCACCGGCTGCTTGGATTCCACCTGCCCGAACTGGCCGGCTCTCTGAGTGCAATTTGTTGGCTGCTGGTGTTGCTTTTTTTCCACTTCTTTTGATTTCTTCCTACCTCTCACCACCTCCCCCTCCTTTCGCTCAAATACCTGGCTCCGTGCTCCATCTTTGCTTCTTCCTGAGGGGCTGTGGAGCTCTGGTAATTTGTGATATACGCTTTCCGACTCCTCACCCTTCTTCACCCACACTCGGCCCCCTCTGCTTCCCGTGGACACAGTCTCTTGTCCGGGAAGCACCGGCTGCCTGGATTCCACCTGCCCGAACTGGCCGGCTCTCTGAGTGCCATTTGTTGACTGCTAGTGTTGCTTTATTTTTCCGCTTCTTTTGATTTCTTCCTTACCTCTCAACACCTCCCCATCTTTTCACTCAAATACCGGGCTCCGTGCGCCATCTTTGCTTCTTCCTGAGGGGCTGTGGAGCTCCGTTCGAGTGTGGAACTGCTTCCTGGTCTGCGCTGCCACACTGGTGGGATCCCAGGGCTTTTGTTTGTTTGTTTTCTTTTCCTTTTCTTGAGTTGGGAGCCTGTTCTGGCCAGGCGGTGCTGCGTGGCTTGGAACCTACACCCTTGGCTTGCGCAGACACGCAGAGGGATCCCTGAGAGCATTTCTTTTTTTGTGGGTTGTTTTTTTTCCGTTTTTTGGGGGGCTTTCCTTGTTCTTTTTTTTTTTAATTTGTTTTGTTTTCTTTTCCCTTTGTGTCTTTCTTCATTACTAAGTTTCTCGTCTCTCTATACCTTCCTTCTCTTTCTGTTCCCTGAATACCTGGCGCTGAATACCTCTACGCCTTCTAGCCAGGCTGTACTGCAACACCTGAGAACAACTTCCCCAGACCTCATAGCCGCACCAGTGGGATCCCTGGGAACTCTGCTGTTCTTTTCCCTTTCTGATTTT